AAACAAACACATAGAAATCACAAAAACCACCCAAAAGAAAAATTATCAACAAAACCCACGAACCTATTTATAAAAAAAATAAGAACCCATATATCCAAATTACATCTTGAACCAAATCCCACAAAAACCAACATTCTGCAAACACAATAAACCAGAACCCAAAACCCAATAACAAAGGACCGTACCGTACGTGCATGGTTTGAAGCACTTAAACATGTAAAGTATACTATGTACATGAAACAATGGTGGTTGGATAAGTTCAGGATTCAAATATTCTTCAAATGAAATCGAAAAGGAACCCTAGAAATTACAAAATCAAAGAAGCGGGAAATGAAAAAACGGAAACGAAGTTGATAAAATTGGAGAAACAAATTGGTAAACACAGGACTTACTCGTTTTCTGGAGAAAAATGTGTCCCCTAAAACAAGAGGTTTTTGGGGGAAAACAAGAATCAGAGATCAGATAGTGGAGGGAGGAGGGGGGAGATTACGACATTGGAGAAGAATAGTAATCGGAGCGTACGACTGAAATTTCCGTATTGCCACTCTATTTGTGTGTTCCAACGGCAGAGATTGCTGTAATTAGAATTAATATTAGGGGCAATTTTGGGTGAAAGTTTTGGTTATTTGCAACATAAGTCCTTGTACTTTTGTGAATTTGCAGGATAAGGAATTTTAACTTAAAACGGATCTCGATTTGTGAAATTAACAATTCTGAATATAAACATCTCATGAGAAGTTTATGAGTTAATTAAAGAAAAACTCAATTCAAGCTTGAGTAACAAATGATCTTCAGCTTAGGTTCGATAATATTATTGAGTCTTTTATATGTAACTCAACTCAGTTTTTATAAATACTCTCACTTATTTTACTATTCATTAGGTTCGATAATATTATTGAGTCTTTTATATGTAACTCAACTCAGTTTTTATAAATACTCTCACTTATTTTACTATTCATAAGAATCTAATCTTAATTCTCTCTAGATTTTTTTTTTCTTCTTACTTGCTCTTGATGAAGACAATACTCTAATGCCTTCTCTATTTCGCATGTCCAAGACTTATTTAATTTTCAGCTAATTAATCGTGAGTTATTTCTCCAGTGAAGACAATTGGGACTTAAGTACATTGGTCTCAAAAAGTTAAAGGACTTAATCATTGAGGAGAAGAGAAATTAATG